TTCCCAAATTTCTCTTCAAATTCCCATTTTTCCCCCCAAAATTCCCAAATCCCTGCCAGAATTCCCAGATTTCTCCCCAGAATTCCCAGTTTTTACCCCAAATTCCCAAATTTCCTCCCAGAATTCCCAATTTCTCCCCAAATTCCTGCCAGAATTCCCTATTTTTTCCCCAAATCCCCAAATTTTTCTTAAAATTCCCGAATTTTTCCCTTTCCAGAGAGGAATTCCTCCCAAAATTCCCAAATTTCCTCCCAGAATTCCCAAATTTCTCCCAGAACTCCCAAATTTCTCCCAGAATCCCCAATTTTTACCCAAATTTTTCCCCCAAATCCCCAAATTCCTCCCAGAATTCCTAAATTCCTCCTCAAATTCCCATTTTTTCCCCAAAATTCCCAAATCCCTGCCAGAATTCCCAAATTTCTCCCCAAATTCCCAATTTTTACCCAAATTTGTCCCCCAAATCCCCAAATTCCTCCCAGAATTCCTAAATTTCTCCCCCAATTCCCAATTTTTACCCAAATCCCTGCCAGAATTCCCAAATTTCTCCCCCAATTCCCAATTTCTACCCCAAATTCCTCCCAGAATTCCCCAATTTTTCCCTAAAACCCCCATATTTCCTACCAGAATTCCCCAATTCCTCCCAGAATTCCCGATTTTCCCCTCATTCCCGTTTTTCCCAGGCCTCCTGGCACACCTGGAGTGGCTGGAATTCCGGGCTCGCCGGGAAGCCGCGGAGCAGGAAAAGCGGGAACGCCGGGAAGAGCGCCGGGAATTCCTCCTCTCCAAAATCCGGGAATTGCGGGAACGCCGCCATCGGCTCCGGGAAAAACTGGGAGAGGCGGTGAGGGAAAAAATTCCAGAGGGATTTTCCCAAAAAAAACAACAATAAAAAAATGGGATTTTTATGATTTTTATGATTTTTTTTTTTTTCCTGGGTTTTTCCCTAGGGAAAAGCCGGAATTCCGAGGATTCCGAAGGATCCGGATCCTCCTGATCCGCGGGAAGTGCTGGAGTGGAAGATCCGGAATTGTCGGGATTTGATCCGGATTTTCCGGCTCACCGGTGAGATGGGAGGGGGGGAAAGCGGGAATTCCCCAGGAAATTTGGGAATTCTGGGGGAATTCCCGAGGAAATTTGGGAATTCTGTGGAAAATTTGGGAATTCTGGGGGAATTCCTGAGGAAATTTGGGAATTCTGGGGGAATTCCTGAGGAAATTTGGGAATTCTGGGGAAAATTTGGGAATTCCCAAGGAATTCTGGGGAAATTTGGGAATTGCGGGGGAAATTTGGGAATTCTGGGGGAAATTTGGGAATTCTGAGGGAAATTTGGGAATTCCTTGGGAATTCTGGGGGAAATTCGGGAATTTTGGGGAAAATTTGGGAATTCCTTGGGAATTCCCAAATTTTCCCCAGAATTCCCAAGGAATTCCCAAATTTCCCCAGAATTCCTTGGGAATTCTGACTCTTTTCCCAAGGAATTCCCAAATTTCCCCAGAATTCCTTGGGAATTCTGACTCTTTTCCCAAGGAATTCCCAAATTTCCCCAGAATTCCTTGGGAATTCTGACTCTTTTCCCAAGGAATTCCCAAATTTCCCCAGAATTCCTTGGGAATTCTGACTCTTTTCCCAAGGAATTCCCAAATTTCCCCAGAATTCCTTGGGAATTCTGACTCTTTTCCCAAGGAATTCCCAAATTTCCCCAGAATTCCTTGGGAATTCTGACTCTTTTCCCAAGGAATTCCCAAATTTCCCCAGAATTCCTTGGGAATTCTGACTCTTTTCCCAAGGAATTCCCAAATTTCCCCAGAATTCCTTGGGAATTCTGACTCTTTTCCCAAGGAATTCCCAAATTTCCCCAGAATTCCTTGGGAATTCTGACTCTTTTCCCAAGGAATTCCCAAATTTCCCCAGAATTCCTTGGGAATTCTGACTCTTTTCCCAAGGAATTCCCAAATTTCCCCAGAATTCCTTGGGAATTCTGACTCTTTTCCCAAGGAATTCCCAAATTTCCCCAGAATTCCTTGGGAATTCTGACTCTTTTCCCAAGGAATTCCCAAATTTCCCCAGAATTCCTTGGGAATTCTGACTCTTTTCCCAAGGAATTCCCAAATTTCCCCAGAATTCCTTGGGAATTCTGACTCTTTTCCCAAGGAATTCCCAAATTTCCCCAGAATTCCTTGGGAATTCTGACTCTTTTCCCAAGGAATTCCCAAATTTCCCCAGAATTCCTTGGGAATTCTGACTCTTTTCCCAAGGAATTCCCAAATTTCCCCAGAATTCCTTGGGAATTCTGACTCTTTTCCCAAGGAATTCCCAAATTTCCCCAGAATTCCTTGGGAATTCCAGGGGAAACTCAGGAATTCTGTGGGGAAACTGGGGAATTCTGTGGGAAACTTGGGAATTCTGTGGGAAATTTGGGAATTCTTTGGGAATTCCGGGGGAAATTTGGGAATACCGTGGGAATTCCTTGGGAAAAGAGTCAGAATTCCCAAGGAATTGGGGTGGGAAATGCTGGAAATTTGGGAATTCTGTGGGAAACTTGGGAATTCTGTGGGAAACTTGGGAATTCTGTGGGAAACTTGGGAATTCTGTGGGAAACTTGGCAATTCCCAAGGAAAATTGGAAATTCCGTAGGAAAAGAGCCGGAATTCCCAAGGAATCGGAGTCTTTGGGGTGGGAAAAGCCGGAAAATCGGGAATTCCCGGGATTTCTGGGCAGAGCTGCGGGGCTGGAAAAATTCCCCATTTTCCTTGGGATTTTCCCCATTTTCCTTGGGATTTTCCCCATTTTCCTTGGGATTTTCCCCATTTTCTTTGGGATTTTCCCAATTTTCCTTGGGAATTCCCGTCCTCCCCCCGAACTCCCAGGATCCGGGATTTCCCCTCCTTTGGAGTCGGCTCCAATTCCCAGAAAATTCCCAGAAAATTCATGGATTATTCCCAGATAATTCCCAGGAAATTCCTGGATAATTCCAAGATAATTCTCGGATTATTCCCAGATTTTTCCCAGATTTTTCCCAGATAATTCCCAGGTAATTCCCGGATAATTCCCAGATAACTCCTGGATTATTCCCAGAAAATTCCCTGAAAATTCCTGTTTTATTCCCAGAGTTTTCCCAGATAATTCCCAGGTAATTCCTGGATAATTCCCAGAAAATTCCCAGATAATTCCCAGATTATTCCCAGATAATTCCCAGAAAATTCCTGGATAATTCCTGGATAGTTCCCAGAAAATTCCCAGATAATTCCTGGAAAATTCCCAGAAAATTCCTGGATAATTCCCGGATAATTCCCAGATTATTCCCAGATAATTCCTGGATAATTCCTGGATAATTCCCAGATAATTGCCAGATTATTCCTGGATAATTCCCAGAAAATTCCTGGATAATTTCTGGATTATTCCCAGATTATTCCCAGTAAATTCCTGGATAACTCCCAGATCATTCCTGGATTATTCCCAGATTTTTCCCAGATAATTCCCAGGTAATTCCCGGATAATTCCCTGAAAATTCCTGGATAATTCCCAGATTATTTGCAGAGAATTCCCAGAAAATTCCCAGATTATTCCTGGATAATTCCCAGAAAATTCCCAGATAATTCCCTGATTTTTCTTGGATAATTCCCAGAAAATTCCTGGATAATTCCCAGATAATTCCCAGATAATTCCCAGAAAATTCCTGGATAATTCCTGGATTATTCCCAGATAATTTCTGGATAATTCCCAGATAATTCCTGGATAATTCCTGGATTATTCCCAGATAATTTCTGGATAATTCCCAGATAATTCCTTGATTATTCCTGGATAATTCCCAGATAATTCCCAGATAATTCCTGGATAATTCCCAGATAATTCCTGGATAATTCCCAGAAAATTCCTGGATAATTCCTGGATTATTCCCAGATAATTTCTGGATAATTCCCAGATAATTCCTTGATTATTCCTGGATAATTCCCAGATAATTCCCAGATAATTCCTGGATAATTCCCAGATAATTCCTGGATAATTCCCAGAAAATTCCCAGATAATTCCTGGCTAATTCCCAGATAATTCCCAGATAATTCCCAGATAATTCCCGGATAATTCCCGGATAATTCCTGGATAATTCCCAGAAAATTCCTTGGTAATTCCTGGATGATTCCCAGATAATTCCCAGATAATTCCTGGCTCATTCCCGTCTCATTCCTGTCTCATTCCCGGATTTTTCCCGCTGTCTCATCCCCGTTTTTCTCTCCCAGGAATCAGCGGGAATCTCTCCCATCCCGGAATTTCCTTCTCCTTCCACACATCCTTCGAGGGCTCCTTCCTGGATTCCTTCCAGCTGGAATTCCAGGAATTCCGACACTTCCGGATCCGCCGCCATTCCATCCCTCCCTTCATCCCCCTGGAGCTCCTGGCCCGGCAATTCCTGCCCCGGAATCTCCGGGAATTCCTGGGAATTCTCTTCCAACACCTCAACGCCTTCGTGGCCCGCAGGCAGCAGCTCAGGCAGCTCCAGGTGGGGACAGGAATTCCGGGAATTCCGGGAATTTTCCCCGCGGGATTTGCGATCTCCCGGGGTTTTGGATACGGGGGAAGGGGGGAGCGACACAAAATTCCCAAATTTCTGCCCCAAAATTCCCAAATTTCTGCCCCAATTCCCAAATTTCTGCCCCAAAATCACCCAATTTTGCCCAAAATTCCCAAATTTCTGCCCAAATTCCCAAATTTCTGCCCAAATTCCCAAATTTCTGCCCCAAAATCACCCAATTTTGCCCAAAATTCCCAAATTTCTGCCCAAATTCCCAAATTTCTGCCCAAATTCCCAAATTTCTGCCCCAAAATCACCCAATTTTGCCCAAAATTCCCAAATTTCTGCCCAAATTCCCAAATTTCTGCCCAAATTCCCAAATTTCTGCCC